TTTGTGCCTTTGAAGATGTTATGAAAGGACATGCTATATTTATATCACAGCTGTAACATCAAAACCCAGCTTTTTGAATTCATGCAGATAGTACATGCAACCAAATACTGTGACCAGAAATCCCAGAAATTTGAGAATGTTTTCCCATGAAGAAAGTTATTCAAATATTCCCACTGCATCAATATCATTCACAGCTCCCTCTCACAAACCAAAGTGACTCTTCCTTTCCACGTGACTATTGATTGTGGGTTTCCAGATTGCTTTATCTCAACCTGACAAATTAGAAATCAATGCACATGTCTGAGCACAGCCAACAATAAGTTATTGGCTCATCTTGACTGTTCAGGATCACTTATTTTAGGATAAAGTTAAATAAAAAGGTAAAAGTAATAGATAAAAGTAAAATATGATAATTGTTTGGGTTTACCACAGTGGTGTCAAAATCTATCATCCAAAGTAAAACAAAACTCCAGATCTAACAGATTGAACGATATTTAAAGTTGGTAAAGTCTCTAAAATGAAAATATTCAGGGATGGCGGGACTTGCCCATAATGCAAACTGCATTTTGTTCAATGAGAGCTTTGCGGTCTTGCTCTGAAGTATACAGGAACAAGGAGAGAACTTCCTCTCACTATCAATCAGGAAATTCTATCAGCATACAGGAAAGTATTGTTGCAGCATTTCTGCATGGTGCCAATGCCTTCTATACTATACTATGCAAAAGGTCTCGAGCCACCTGCCATTTCCTTATTTGCTCAAGAGTTTTGCTCTGTTCTATGGACCACAGTGTGTGCAGAAATAAGTACTGTGATTTTTACATAAATTAGATCACATTCCCAGGACGTTTAGGACATCTCATATTTTCAGCTTGCATTGTCATGTTAAATAGCAAGGATCCACCTGGAGTTAGAAGAGTACTGCCTGCAGAGTTTCATCATTGTTATTATTATTGTTATTTTAATGTTGTGGTTTTCTTGAAAGACAGGTTTTTTTTTATTCTCTTCACCTCTTCTCAGACTTCTGAAATCTGATCTGGGTGTTTCTCCCCACCCCCCTTTTCCCAACCTCCTGCATGCCAGAGTACTTGGCTCTGCCCTCAATCTGGTCTCAAGTTTCTGCAGACCTACAGCAGATTGTTTATTTTGCTGGACATGGAGGAAACACGGATGGACCCTTCACTGGCTCAAGATTTACTGTTAAGCCAGGCTCCCGTGTGATCTGTATTTAGAACAAGACTCCCTTTAACAGCAAGCTCTTTATCCTTTGCAAAAATGGCACATTACTAAGGACAATGGGATTGTCTGCTTGGGTAATGTAATGCTAGGGGATTACATCATTTGATACAACATAGCACTGGGTAGACAACAGTCTACTAATCCTGCTCGCTGAGGTCATTTATAATTCATTGAAGCACACATACCATCATCCTATTTTGGACAAAGGGCAGAAAAATCTATATACCCTAGTGATGGTGGAGAAGGACAAAACATTTCCCCGGAGATCATTTCTGCTAAAATTTATGAGGTTACTCTTCACCACTGACACCACAGTGTAAGTGCTGAGGTCAGGGTATTAGGTAAAAATAGCCTTAGGAAGCACATGCATTGTATGTCTGTATTAAATAGCTGCATGCAATTAAAATGGATTACAGATATGAAGGTAGCAACACTAGCGTTTTCCTCTTTTACTTCTTTTAAAACTTTTCCATCAGTAGCTGTGGGGTTAGTGAAGTACGTGCAAATACTGTGGTCTCACCATCCAGGAAATGCATATCTTGTTGACGGAAATTCTTCCTGTGAAATTTGAAATAAATTATGGTGCACACGCCTTTCATCCTAGCCATCAGTAATGCACAGTGAAGCTCCTTTAGAGGCAATTATGATTTATGGGACACACAAGGGAGAGGGAAGAATGTGCATTCAGTACTTTGGAGGAACAGAGAAGCAAAGAGAGCAAATTGCAATGTGAAAGAGAACTGACTGCTCATGAACCGGCGTCTACAGTTTTCTCACTTTAAGCGTGGTTTACTTTCACCCCCAGACAGGTCATGAAGAGTACAAATGCTTCTTACTTAATTTCATTTTGTGATGTTTTTGGTATCATGTCCTGAGCAGCCAATCAAGTAATACAATTTCCTCAACGGGAATTATGAACAAAGAGTGAATTGAGGCCTGAACAGAAAGAGAAAATGGTACTTGAGGTGAATGATTGTGTGGTCAATGAAATGAGTCATATGCTTTTTTTCAGTATTTCGTTGTAGCTACACTGCTTATCAGTATACCACAGTCTCAGTGAAAAATTTCTTTACCAGAACCACAAGACTAGGGTTATGTCAGATTACTATGAGTTCAATGCAACCATGAAAAAAAATATGTGAAAACCAAAAAGACATGATGTTTTCTTAGAGGAAGTCGGTGCTATGAATTGAGGTTGTTTGTGGCCGTCTGGGTCTGTAAGGCAACTCAGCAGGAGCAAAGGTGGAGGTTGGAATGTCAGTGAGGGTCAGAGAAGGTCACGGGGAAATGACCTTTTGGATGAGTCAGGAGTCCATTCACTGGAACCCCAGCTGTGATGGACAGGTCACGTGGAGGTCTCCACCAGTTCATACGCAGACATGCTCATACAGTCACCCTGCTTTGTCATTTGTAGACATTACAGACCAAGATGGAGAAAACTTTGACGGCTCATTTAGGACAAGATATACCTCCCTTTGTCAAATAACATATAACTTTTGAGTAAAACAGTTAGACCTATGGCAAAACTTGAGAGAGCTAAGATAAAATATCTGAAGAGATACTTCAGTAGATTTAAAAAAGGTCAACCTGAGAACTGACCACACTGTTCAACTAACAACAGACTGCTTAGCTTTATTGGCTAAAATTATATCAGAAACCCCCCCACCCCTAAATAAATAAATAAATAAATAAATAAATAAAATGAAATAAAATAAAATGAAATGAAATAAGTAAATAATTTAAAAAAATGACCGGCTATGTTTTCTATCACTTTGGCCAATGAAATACACCCAAAATACAAGTAAGGCAAGATGAAGAGAGTCATCCTTCACTTTATGAAAACTAAAAGGAAATAAAAATTGTACAATTTTTAAGACCTCATGTGTGCTATTATCATGATATTTTATGTGTAAATATCATGGTTATCTTCAGTAGTGACAACAAACCTGTTTACTATTTTAAAAAGAGATTATTACTACTACTACTATTATTATTAGTATCACTATTAGAAAAGGAAACAAAATCTGCCTGTTCTGAACCAGTTTTCAAGGTAACGTTATAGGTGTTCCTTCCAAACGATAACAATACAAAAACTCAAAGCATACAAATGGACCAGGCCAGATAGACAACACAATTAGCCTTATCTTTATATTAACTCATTAAAAATCAAAAAAAAAAAAAAAAAAAAAAACAAAAAAAAAAAAAAAACTATCCGACTTCACTGGCACATGTATTTATCTTATTTATTCTCTCTCTTTCCCTGCTTCACCTTTCGTTTGACAGAGGAAGGCTGCGTGCCCGTGTCTGTGTGCGTCTTTGGGGAGAGTACCTGCGCATCACAGGCATATATAGTTTGTAGGCGACGAGTGCGTGACTTCTGAGAGCCCTGCTAACTAAATTGCTGTGTTTTGTTTTTTCATAGTATCGCTGCTTAAATGAATTGTTCACTGTGGGCCACGGCGGCAATCAGAACAACGGGAAATGCCTTGGTGCTCCCGGCGGACAGTTTACGGACTTGTATCCATTGGTATAGAAGAAAAACTGTACGTATACAGCTTCACTGGGTTACAAAATATACTGAACTTTCATCTCCCGAGAATTTTCACTTAATTACTTTATATTGTCAGAGCAAGAAATTAAGAGCGTCATCTCAGTAATTCACTCTCAGCTGCCATCTACTGGTTGTTCTTGTATTTGTTTGGCTTCACTTTCCTTTGGCCAGCCTGGGAGCGTTTTGTCAAGGCTAGAAGTAATGTAGGTCAGAACATTTACTCCAAAAATATGTCACTGCAGTCATATGCAGTTTACACAAAATAATAGGAAATGTTATAGGATGTACTTTTTTCAAACAGGAGGGACTTTAAGACAGCAGGAAGTACTATAAATAGTATAGCTACAGTCATATTTTGCTGAGAACCTACTTGAAAATATGTCATATATACATATTGAATTGAATTTGATAGTTTTAGTGACTGTTAAAATAGCAATGAGCTTGACTCCTGATTGAATAACTATAATTTTGCATCACATTACACAGTAATTTAATTAGAAAATAACCAGCATGCATTAATTTTGGGCCTGGTGAAGGATCAGAAGGTCTTTACATATCTCATAGCACATCCAGTTTATGTATTTTTTCACAAGCACTGCTGCTTGAACATTGTTTAAACCCAGGTAGTACTCCAGGACTATTATAATGTGCATTTTTGTTGCTGTTGTTGTTGCAATGTCTCATTTCCTTCTCAGTTTTATGCAGTACATTTTGAAACAGCCTGTAGTTTGAAGTGGTACACACATGCATTGCATGTTTTCAGGCCAGAATAACCAACTAAGCAGGCCGAGCAGGCAACTGCTCAGGATTCCCAGAGGTCAACCAAACCCTAAACCCACTGCTTCCCAGTTTACTGAATCAATTATGTACTCATTTATTAAAGGACTGGGGTCTCTAAATGTTTTATTTAATCCATATCCTGCTCACAGTGTCACTTGACACTGTAGCTTATAAAGAAAATGGAAGCTTACAATAGAGGCCCATCAGTATTCGTTGCAAGCAGTCCCTTCAGAACTTTGTTCTAGTTATAGACATTTGACAGAACCTGTTGAATATTCAGTAACATTCAGTTTATATATA